TCTGGCTCTTTCCTCACGCAGGTCCCCGACTACCTGGATCACATCAAGAAGCCGATGGATTTTCAGACAATGAAACAAAACCTGGAAGCCTATCGCTATCTGAATTTCGACGACTTTGAGGAGGATTTCAACCTCATTATCAACAACTGTTTGAAATACAATGCCAAAGACACAATCTTCTACCGGGCAGCCGTCCGTCTGCGGGAGCAGGGAGGCGCCGTCCTCCGGCAGGCTCGTCGGCAGGCGGAGAAGATGGGCATTGACTTTGAGACAGGCATGCACTTCCCCCATTGTGTAACGGTGGAAGAGGCTCAGGTCCAAGACATCGAGGACGGTGGGTACTCATCCCCTGTCCCGGGGTATGAGGGCTACTCAGAGGTAAAGCCTGGGCAGAGTCAGGGCACCTGGGGGTCTGTTGGAGCTGCCTCCCATGGGAGGTTCACTTGGACACCTGGGCTGTGTCTGGTTGCTCCCCAGAGAGGGCTCCTTCTCCAGGTCTTTTAGGGTAACTTGCCATATTCACAGGTGTTTGGTACCATGTCAGCTACTTTCCCTCCTATGGGGAACATGGATTGCCTCATGCCCTTTCACATAGAGGAGCTCCAAAGAGTTCCCGATTTCTCTCATCCATCTGCTCCCCTTTGCTCCCTCAGAAGACGTGCGGCTGCTGCTCTCGGAGAATCAGAAGCACCTGCCCTTGGAGGAGCAGCTGAAGATCCTGCTGGAGCGGCTGGATGAGGTCAACGCTGGCAAGCAGAGCATAGGACGGTCCCGCCGGGCCAAGATGATCAAGAAGGAGATCACAGTCCTACGGCGGAAACTCGCTCACCCGCGGGACCTGGGCCGAGATGGGCTGGAGCGGCACAGCTCCTCTGCCAGGGGAGTCCTGCAGTCACACAACCCCTGCGAGAAGGACCTGCAGACAGACAGCGCTGCAGAAGAGAGCAGCAGCCAGGAGACTGGCAAAGGTACTGGTCCCTTCAGAATACTTCCAGGTTTGGGGAGTGGTGGAGAAACGGCCTCTGGATAGGCTTGGCTGGGGGAGAGTCTGCCCTGCCAGCTGCCTCTGGAGGCAGGAGGCCAATGTGGGCAGCTCCCCACAGCTTCACTCTTTGCTTCTCCTTAAAAGCAGGGCAGGTGGCCTCTCAGGGGGACAGTCCCTTATCTCCCATTCCCCTGCAGGTGTCCTTTGTTTTCTGTAGTGGTGGGTGCAGAGCAGAATGTCTGTGCCTCCTGGCGTGCCCACCTGGGAATGGTACTCTGGGTAATTTGAGCCGTGCCTGCCAAGCAGGGGGGTTTGGCAGCCAAAGGAGGTCACCTCCTGCGTCAGGATCAGCCCCAGCCTCTGGGGAGGGTCTGCAGGTTGCTGGTGTTCGCAGCTGCAGTCAGTGTTCACCCGGTGAGCTCACCTCCCATGTGGCTGAGGAACTGGATGTCGTTCCAGAGACTGAGACTGAGAGTCTCAGCTGTGTGATGCGGGGCGTGAGATGGATTGTTTCCTCCTGCCAGCTCTGCCACACTGCTTGGTTTCTCTAGGGGCATTAGGGAGCAGGCTGCCTTCGGTGTCCCTTTCTGCTTGGGGGCACAGGAGGGAGTTGCAGCAGCACTGACTGCCAAGCTCCAGATGCCCTCCTGGGGCTGGGAGCTGAACGCAGGCCAGCCACCAGCTCTTTGCTCTCCTGAACGGAGATGCTGAGCTGGGCTCTCTGAGGAGCACAGCCAAAGCTCCAGCCAGAGCTGCGGTTTGCCACCTCTGCATCCCAGTCCTGCCCCACTAAGCACTGGGAAAACCCAGCAGGGAGTGTTTCAGGGCCTTTGTCTTTCAAGGGTGCAGTGGAGCTTCTCAGCTGCTGCGTGTCATGGGAAGGGTTTATTCCTGCTCGCTTCCTGTTGTTGATTTCTGTCTCTTTGAGGTTGCCGCCTGGGAGAAAGGAGGGCATCCCGGAGGGGGTGGAGTGTTCTTTGTCCCCATCTAGCTTTTACCGTCAGCAGACCAGATAATTTGATGCTGAAGGCACAGGCATGGCAAAGCTCGGGATGGAAGATCTTCTGACACAACATTGTTAAGAAATGAAGCTGTTCCTTGCTGCCACTGCCGTGTGGTCCCCGCTGGGCCCTGCAGGCTGCAGCCAATGCCTTCCTTCTCTTCCAGGTCTGGGTCCCAATTCTTCTTCTACTCCAGCACACGAAGTTGGCAGGAGGACCTCAGTGCTCTTCTCCAAGAAGAACCCTAAAACCGCAGGCCCTCCAAAACGTCCAGGACGCCCCCCGAAGAATCGAGACAGCCAGATCACTCCCGGGCACGGGAACAGCCCCATCGGGCCCCCCCAGCTCCCGATAATGGGGTCCTCCCAGCGGCAGAGGAAGCGAGGGCGAAGCCCACGCCCCAGCTCCAGCTCGGACAGCGACAGCGATAAGTCCACCGAAGATGCTCCCATGGGTGGGTGTTGTAGCTCCCCCTGTGCCGCTGGGCGGCTGTGGCCCTGTCAGGAGCATGTGGCGGGGTCCCTCATGGTTGTAACGCGCTTCTGGTGGGGTGTTTTGCAGATCTGCCAGCAAACGGTTTCAGCAGCGGGAACCAGCCAGTGAAGAAGAGCTTCCTGGTGTACCGCAACGACTGCAATCTGCCCCGGAGCAGCTCCGACTCGGAGTCCAGCAGCAGCAGCAGCAGCAGCGCCGCCTCAGACCGTACCAGGTACCATCCCCAGCCCAGCTGCAATGGCACTGGTGCTGCCAGGGTGGCTCTCTTCCAGATGAGGAGCGTGTTTGACAGTACCCATCTCATTCACTCTCCTGCAGCCTGGCTGCTGTTAGCTAAACCCTAGAGAGCTCTGGGGTTTGTGCCTTTGTTTAGTGTAAAACCTAAAGGTGTGAGTGTGCAGCAAAGGGCTAGCGGGGAGCATGAACTGGGGCATTCCCTCCTGGCACAGCGGCTGCTCCGGCACTGGCCCTTCCAGCAGGTTCCTCCCTGCAGCTCCGCTTTGGAGCAGTGCATGGCTTCCAGTTCCTCCCAGCTGAAACTGGGTGAGGGTCTGGCAGGCTCTCTCCAGCAGAAGACCCCTTTCTTCCTGGTGCCTCTGCTGGTGCTGAGGATGGTGTTTGGAGCCCATGAGCCCTGCTGTCCTGCCAGGCTGGCCCTCTGGAAAGCGGTTTCTGGAAGCTTAACGTGGTTCCTACCAACAGCTCTGCTCCCTCTCTCCGCAGCACGACGCCCTCCAAGCAGGGCAGAGGGAAGCCCTCCTTCTCCCGCGTGAACTTCCCGGAGGACAGCAGCGAGGACACGTCGGGGACGGAGAACGAGTCCTACTCCGTGGGCACGGGGCGAAGTGTGGGACACGGCAGTAAGTACTGTGGTTGTCCAGCCGTGAGCCCGGCTGGTGCCATCACTGGGGGACCTGCTGTTAGCTAAACCCTAGAGAGCTCTGGGGTTTGTGCCTTTGTTTAGTGTAAAACCTAAAGGTGTGAGTGTGCAGCAAAGGGCTAGCGGGGAGCATGAACTGGGGCATTCCCTCCTGGCACAGCGGCTGCTCCGGCACTGGCCCTTCCAGCAGGTTCCTCCCTGCAGCTCCGCTTTGGAGCAGTGCATGGCTTCCAGTTCCTCCCAGCTGAAACTGGGTGAGGGTCTGGCAGGCTCTCTCCAGCAGAAGACCCCTTTCTTCCTGGTGCCTCTGCTGGTGCTGAGGATGGTGTTTGGAGCCCATGAGCCCTGCTGTCCTGCCAGGCTGGCCCTCTGGAAAGCGGTTTCTGGAAGCTTAACGTGGTTCCTACCAACAGCTCTGCTCCCTCTCTCCGCAGCACGACGCCCTCCAAGCAGGGCAGAGGGAAGCCCTCCTTCTCCCGCGTGAACTTCCCGGAGGACAGCAGCGAGGACACGTCGGGGACGGAGAACGAGTCCTACTCCGTGGGCACGGGGCGAAGTGTGGGACACGGCAGTAAGTACTGTGGTTGTCCAGCCGTGAGCCCGGCTGGTGCCATCACTGTGGGGGACACACACACATGGCTGACTCCCCTCTCCCCTGGCAGTGGTACGCAAGGGCATGGGGCGCGGCACGGGGTGGCTCTCCGAGGACGAGGATTCCTCCCTGGATGCCCTGGACCTGGTGTGGGCCAAGTGCCGGGGGTACCCCTCCTACCCGGCGCTGGTGAGTACCAACAGCCACGTGCTACTGCTGGAGCTTCCCAAACCCCACGTCCTGTCCCACCCCACCCACAGAGCGGCACTTGGGGTGGGGGTCTCCCTCTCAGCCCCCTCCTCCCCTGCTCTTCCCGTAGATCATTGACCCCAAGATGCCGCGGGAAGGCATGTTCCACCACGGCGTCCCCATCCCCGTGCCCCCCTTGGAGGTGCTGAAGCTGGGGGAGCAGATGACTCAGGAAGCACGCGAGCACCTCTACCTTGTCCTCTTCTTCGACAACAAGCGCACTTGGTAAGGCCGGGGGCTTGGGG